ATATAATTTTATGTATCATTTAAATAATTAATTCTTTTTATATATTTAAGATTAGTGATATTGAATGCATTCATTTATTTAATAACATATAAAAATTTTATAAAAAAAATTATATAAAAAAGTTATTCCTATATTACTACTTACACTAACTTGTTCTACACTAAGACTAGGAAAACAGACTATATGGTTCCAAAAGATTAGGACAAAATAAAACTTATTCAACGTTTAAATTGCAGCAGGATCAGGAATATATATTAGCAAACCAACAATGTTGGATCCTTTTCTTCTCTAGAATCTCTACTCCCCCCAGATAAATTGCAAGAGGCAGAAGGGTATACTTAAAATTTTCATGTTGAATACTTATTAAAACCACACACGATGTTTCTCATCTACTCTTATGCAGAAGATGCTTTAATACTTTCAATTTTTGTGCTTCTCTTTTATGGAGGTTGCACGGTGGCCGTAGCTAAGAATGCAACGTTTCCAGCACTCCTTGTGTTCGGGGACTCCATAGTGGACACAGGGACTAACAATTACATCCCTACAATAATCAAGTGTGATTTTGAGCCGTATGGAAGAGATTTCCAAGGTGGAAAACCAACCGGAAGGTTTAGTAATGGAAAGGTTCCCTCTGACATAGCAGGTACAGCTTCAATTCTCCCTTGACACCCAAGAGACGGATTTTATTTTCAATTTTTTTTTTCCCCAGATGCACTAATGTAATGTTACAGGTGAAATCTATGGCATTAAGGAGTTGTTACCACCATATCTTGACCCATATCTGCAGCTAGAAGACCTCCTCACTGGAGTAAGTTTTGCATCAGGTGGCGCTCGATATGATCCTCTCACAGCTAAAGTAGTGGTATGTATGAAATCTATATACCATCTTCTTAATTGATAATTCCTCAATTATATTGTCAAACTCATTCTTTTTTCTGCTTGTACTCGTTTTCTTTCTTAGTCTGTTTTATCATTGACGGATCAACTGCAACTGTTCATGGAATACAAAGAGAAGATAAAATTAGCATTAGGGGAAGAACAGATTGCTGCTTTTATTTCAAAAGCCGTATTCTTTATCTGCGTTGGAAGTGCTGATATTGTTAATACTTACTATGCTACTATGCTCCGGAGTTTTGAGTATGACATTGATTCATACACTAATTTAACAGTCAGCTATGGAGCACAATTCTTCCAGGTATATGCACATTTTGGCTTCAGCTATATGACCAATTAGTATGAAAGACCAAATTAACTAATGTAGGAACTTAATTTGGGTGCAGGAGCTTTATCGGCTTGGAGCAAGGAGAGTTTTGGTTCTGGGAGTGCCGATGCTTGGGTGCATACCTATACAAAGAACGCTGGGTGGAGGGGCAAGAAGAGTCTGCGCAGATAAACAAAATCATGCAGCATTACTCTTCAACTCCAAGCTCTCTTCCCAAATTGCTTCTATCAAGAACAATCTTCCAGAATTCAAAATTGTCTATTTTGATACCTACTATCCATTTCTATACATCCTCCAAAACGCTGAAAAATTGGGTACGTTTAACTTTACCCGTGCCCTCAATGAAATATTGTATAAATTTTTTTTTCAAATTAAGATTTACTTACATACAAATCTCATATACCATATTCATATAAAAACTCAATCATTCATCTCTCCTATTATTGAGATTTATGTATATTTATTAAAAATAATTTTTTTATTTAAAAAATTGTGTATAAATAGATTTCTCCTTTTTTTTTCTTTTTTTTTTTTTAACAACTAAAATTGGACTAAACGTTGCACACTTAGAAAAAAAAAAAGGCTTTACTCAAATAATACTTTTACAATTACCAAAACTAACATCAAGGATCTTATTGCCTTTGGATTCAGGGTTTGAAGTGGCAAATAGAGGCTGTTGCGGCGCAGGCAACATAGAAGTGAGCATTCTGTGCACCCGTCTCCATGATTTAGAAACCTGCAAAGACGCCTCAAAATTCGTTTTTTGGGACAGCTACCATCCCACAGAGAAGACTTACAGGATCCTTACCAATATGGTCCTTAATGAACACCCTCAGGAACTTCTCTGATCTCGAGGATTGTTACAGTTAGAAATTTATATAAGCATTATTCGATCAGAAGAGCTAAGTGCAATTGGGCCCAAGTACTAGCTGCACTGGACAACATTTCTCTTGTTTGATGCCAAAAAGGTTCTAGCCTTTCGTTGTGTTAAAGTTCATTACTAGCCTGATCTTTCTCAAGAATTATTGTTTAACTCTCCATGGGGAAGCCTTATTGAGTCAGGCACCTTGATCTCTTTCTTTTTCTCTTTGTTAACTTTTAGATTAGAGTGTTGAAGCGTGGAAGGTTTTGGGGTAGATTTGCTTCCAGTTGCATCGGCTACTTTCATGTTCCTAAACCATCTTTGGACATTTGTAATACTATTCTTTGCAGATCCCAGAAAAAAAAAAA